TACTACACACTACACGAAGAATTTTTGCTGCATAATAAATACCATATATGCAATTACCTATAAATTAATATAAGATGGTTTTCCATATTAATTCCTGACATATAAAACCATATAAACACATGTGTGCACATATATGTGTACCACAGGAATTAATATGGAAAACCATATGAATTCATATACTGATTTCATATTGAAACCTTAGTGCCATATGACAAACTATAAATACCTATTCTTCTGGTCTTGCCGCAAAGATCTTACCCCTCTTGATTAATTCTTATGGGGCTACCTTAAATCAGTCTACATCAACATACCACAAAATTTAGAAGACTTGAAAAATCAAATTTGTGAAAAATGTCGCTTTATTAGTGCAGAATTAGTCCAGGAATTTTCGGATAGGCTTGCTTACTGTCAAGAAACCAACGGGGAGCAATTCGAACATATAATTGGTTAATGTATCCATTAAAAGCATTTTCAAAATAAAAATATTTTTTTGAAAATAAAAATTTTTAAATAACGAACTTTTAAATTTAATAATACTATCATCCCAAAAGGTATACATGTGCATATTGCTGAATTTAGAATTTCATAATCCATTCGAATCTGCAAAAAAATGAGGGTACAATTTTAAAAAACGGCCGATGACGTCAAAATGTGCGGAATCAAAAAGCAAGATCGACGTGTTCAATGAATTTTTTGGGAAAAAAAAGGCATTTTTTTAAATAAATTTGTTCCATACTTTTGCCGCTCACTGTAAATTGTCACGCTTTCAAACATTAACATCGATGGTGCAAACTGAAAGAGCTGTAGGCGATACTTTAAGTTTATATTTTACCTGCTAGTCTTTTAGTGACGTTTTTCTTTTTTATTTCACCCGTGATGAAAACGTGTGAAAGTTTTTTTTCACAGAAATAAAGTACGAATTGAAACATTATAAATGTAAGAAAAAATCAAAGGAAAACTTAAGTAAATCGTAATTAAGAACCCGCAATAATTTGACATTGCACAAGCGACTGCTTTAGAAGTTAAAAATTTATTATATATTTGTATTTTATTATAATTTGTTTCATTACTTTAGTTGATTGATCTATCGTTTTTAAAAATATGCAGGCAAAACACAATAAATGTTTTCTTTTGTGATTTTGCACTTTAAACTTTTCTTGTAACTATTAAAACAACAAAGATAATAATAATAAAGAATAATTTTATTAAAAATAGTTTATATTTTATTAGTAGGAAACTTTAATTGCATATGTTGCACCGGGGTGAGAATTCGTGAAACGGATCACTGTTTTCCCGACTTTGGAAAATACAAAAAACAATTATTGGTTTTTGTAGTACTCATTGATAGTAAAATATTCCCAAATTAAAAAAAATATATATAAACAATTATAAAAGTTATTTTAAAAAAGAGCGTTTTTGATGAATTTTTTTCGAAAATAAAGCCTTTTAATAAAATTTTACATTTATTAAAAATTCTTCAAAACTCATTTTCATAAAAAATATATTTAAATTTAAAAAAAAAAATATTTTCATAAAAAAAATTATTTATAATAAACAATTTGCATTTTTATAATTTTCTAAATGGTCTTTTTAAAAATCGTGTTAATTTATATTTTCGTTAAAGTCTTTCAAAATAAAACTAAAAAAATTGGATTCTTAATCAAACGATTAATGACATTTGATTTTGTTAGCCGGCGCGACTTTTCTGGCCCTGGCGCTCGAGCGCGCTCCCGACGCGACCCGTCCCATTGCGATGCGTACTTTATTATCAATAACTCTGCTTTACTATACTATCAAGTACTTTTGTGATTTAAAAATTATTTTGTACAACCATTAAATATATATTATACGTATATATATAATATATATTATATATATTAGGGTGTTCCAAAAAAACTCGATATTTTTTTTTTTGCTCTCCACCCAAAATATCGTAGAATATGTCCGAACAAATATTCTGTTAAAAGCGGAGCTCATAATTTCAATTTTAAGAGGTCCTCCATCGAATCTGAAGTTTTGCCGCTTAAATAACACAGAAAACTGACTTTTTTACCTTATTTATTCTTGCAACCTAGGAAGAATTTTTTTTTTCATAAAATCCATGACTAATTTATACAAAGCATTAAATTTGGACAAAAAAATCTTATTAAGCCGAATTTCTATTTTCATTATTTGATTTTTTATACAGAGCTTTAAATTTAAAATTTTACGTTTGTTGCCTTTTTCAGCTAAACTATTGAAGTTAGACGAAAAAGTCGAATGGCAATTTTTTAGCTTGTCTGATGGACCACAAAAAAGTTTTAGGCGAATTTTTTGTATCGTCAATATTCTAAAAGTTACAGGCGTATAAAGTCATCATTTTTGTAATATTAACTATAAATTTAAAGCTCTGTAAAAAATCAAATAATGAAAATAGAAATTCGGTTTAATAAGATTTTTTTGTCCAAATTTAATGCTTTGTAAGAATTAGTCATGGATTTTATGGAAAAAAAAATTCTTCCTACGTTGCAAGAATAAATAAGGTAAAAAAGTCAGTTTTCTGTGTTATTTAAGAGGCAAAACTTCAGATTCGATGGAGGACCTCTTAAAATTGAAATTATGAGCTCCGCTTTTAACAGAATATTTGTTCGGACATATTCTACGATATTTTAGGTGGAGAGCAAGAAAAAAAAATATCGAGTTTTTTTGGAACACCATAATATATATAATATATATTATATATATACGTATAATATATATTTAATGGTTGTACAAAATAATTTTTAAATCACAAAAGTACTTGATAGTATAGTAAAGCAGAGTTATTGATAATAAAGTACGCATCGCAATGGGACGGGTCGCGTCGGGAGCGCGCTCGAGCGCCAGGGCCAGAAAAGTCGCGCCGGCTAACAAAATCAAATGTCAGTAATCGTTTGATTAAGAATCCAATTTTTTTAGTTTTATTTCGAAAGACTTTAACGAAAATATAAATTAACACGATTTTCAAAAAGACCATTTAGAAAATTATAAAAATGCAAATTGTTTATTATAAATAATTTTTTTTATGAAGTTTTTGAGTTTTTTTTGGCACACCCTAATATATAGATATATACACAGGGTGTATCACGTTCGATGGTAGGTTAGACGTTTATGGAGAACTTTATGGAGAACGGCAAAATATATCGAATTGAAATTTTTATAGCAATTATAATATCATTTAAACTATTTTTCTAAATTATTTTGAACAAAATTACTCTTCCGGTTTTAACGGAAGCGCTATCAACTTTGTTATTTTAAATGAATCATCACATTTTTTTTACATTATCATTCCTTATAAAATGGCTATACCATGTCCTATACCTAAACTTAATAGTTTTTGAGTTATTAATTTTTTTTGTAAAATTCGGTCAGTTTCACCCTCAACAAAAAAGCTTATAACTTTTTTAATATTAGGTTTACTGATATTTGGTTGGATTTAATTGAATCCTGAAGCATTTATTGTAATATTTCTAAAAAGATACTTGATAAAAAACAATGTGAATGTAGCTAACTTAAAACAGCAATAACTCTTTTATTCTCAATGGAACGCCCTGTATATTTTTACATAATTAAATGTGAAATTATAATACCTTTTCATTGATTGATTGAACTATTCCCTATACCTAAAGTTAATATTAAGAAAGATATTTTACAATTACCCTAATAATATGAAGAAAAACTGATAAAATGTTGCTCATGTGTATTAATTTGGTATGAATAACAAAACTTTTCCGATATTTATTATTATTAAAATAAAGGAAAATAACTACTCAGAAGAAGAAAATATTTATTCTTAATGGATAACCAAATTACATTATATTTAAATATATTTTTTATGAAAATTTGATGAGTTTTGAAGAATGTTCAATTAAGGTAAAATTTTATCAAAAGGCTTTATTTCCATGAGACATTTTCGAAAATAAATCGTCAAAAACGCTCTTTTTTAAATAACTTTTATAATTGTTTATATGTATATGTTTATATGTATATATTTTTTTTTAAATTTGGGAATATTTTACTATCAATGAGTACTACAAAAACTAATAATTGTTTTTTGTATTTTCCAAAATCGGGAAAACTGTGATCCGTTTCACGAATTCTCACCCACCAGCGCACTGTGTCGTATTTGACCTGTATAGGTGACCAAAAGTCGATTTCTGAAGTTGCCCTTACAGCAAAAAAATATACATAAAATTGATCCTTATGCTTTTCTTGGCAATGTACAACCATTTGTTTATTTATAAAATATTAATAAGGACCGTGACGTATAAAATTTTAAAACAATGCACAAACACATTTTTTTATATAAATAACTCGCGCTTGGTAAATATGCGATTAAAACTATAAATTATAATTAACAGGAGTTATATTTGGTAGATAGCTTTAAAATAAATGCCTTTTTAGGTATAACGTTAAAAATTAAAAAAAATATTTTATTTTATATATAGTAATAGCCGTCCAAATTTTGTCATATTTTTAACGTGCATTCAAGCAAACTTTTTGCAAATAGTAATGGTGCCCCAGGTTGCCCCAATTTCTTTTGTGTGTGGAAGTGTTTATTAATATATTAATAATGGTCGTTATTAAGGATTTTGACGGGAAATGTTGAGAAACTTGGCTACACTTGATTTTATGTAAAAAAATGTGTATTAGAGCTCATTTTTTTTTTAACTTTTGTCTTTATTTTCCGAGTTTTTTTTAAATCTGGCGCCTTAAAATTAATTAGAGACATAAAAATAATAAATATATATTAATTTAAAACTAATTTGGTCATTTGAAAAAAAAAATGTCATATTGCTTTGACGCAAATACCTATATACCTATTTTTTTGCACTACCGTTTAAATTATGTTAAATATGCAAGACTTGATTAAAATCAAGTCTTGCATATTTAACATAATTGAAAGGGTTGCGCAAGGCGAATTTTCTCGTTAAAATAGTATAAAATTTAAACACATTTGCCGAACAACAGTGGTAACTTACTCCGTTCGTTGAAAGGAATTCCATGCCTTTGGCCACTTGGTATGCGAAGGAAGTCAGGTCTCTGGATGTGAGCGACTTGCTCTGGCCGTGCATATTATTGTAGTGGCGCTCGGCGCGGGAACTCCTCAAATAACTTTGCAGTTTTCCCTTGCTGATGTACTCCATTATCAGGAATATCGGCTCCTTTTCCGTGCAACAGCCCAGCAGTCGGACTACGTTGGGATGTGGCTCGAGCATTTTCATTACCTGTAGCTCCGATACCAGGTCGGACCTTTCTTTTTCGTTGGCGTTCTCCTTTAACGTTTTAACCGCTACTATTGCCGAGCCGCTCTCGTTTCCTAAAATTAGAAATAAAGCTGCAGCCAAATTTACTTTGGAAATTCTTCTTAAGTAAAAAATCACTCTAAAACTGTAAATTATGCATTCACAAAATATTATCAAGAGTACAACTTTTAAGCCTTATTCAGAACCTCGTAATTACACTGTTCAAAATTTCATGACCATTTTAACACCAAATTAACACCATACCTGGTGTAAATTGAACTCATTTTCATTGTTAAATATTATGTGTTTGTGGTCAAATTAAATCATACTACACAGAAAAAAGGAAAAAAAAAAGGAAACAGGAAGTTCCTTGACGCATTACTAGTATATTACCAGTGGTATTATTCCAGAAAATGGAACCTTCAACTCGCTAGAGATAATGTTTTTAGTGCGTTTCACTAACTTAAGGTAGTTGTCGTGGTACAATATTGTCAAAAATTTTAAGATTATACGCACCGTAAAAGTATACGAGCTTGTAGCTAAATGATTCATAATTTGTTCGCAAGACTGTACCCTGGAGACGTTATCTTTACGTAATACTTTCAAATATTTTCATAAGTTTTAATCCGGCAACGTCGCTTATGCTCAACCAATAGCTATATTGGAGACTAAATCAGTCATTTGAATTTACTGCGGAAATAATATCTATACTCGCGTACAGCGTTGCCAAGTTGTTTTTATCTGACACTAGTGATGTATACTTTTTACAAATTGTTGAACTTTAAACGGTTATTTATAAACAATTGGACGGTCAAAAATTTTTAAATATTTTTTTTTAAACTCAGCAAAAATACATTAAAACACTGTTAGTTTTTTGAAAGCTTCTGACAGTTAGTTTTTTCTGTATAACTAAGAAACTAGTACAGAACTACAGAAAGCCTATACAATCCATGTTAATTATCCAATTTTTAATTGAATTTATCTCGGGTTATAGACGGTCAATCGACTTCAAATTTTAAGGATATATGTATTGTCATTTCCTTAATAAGTATACAAAAATTTAAAATTTTCTGATGGTATGCTTATAGCACGACAACTACCTTAAGTATTGACAGCTGTTTAGTTCTTTAGTATCGAACAACTTGTAGTGTCACTCCAAAGCAAAGGACCACCTGAGTTTATATATTCTTCATGTAAGTCAACAGAGGCGAGATTTAAGAACATCACGTGATCCACACCGCCTTTGCCGCGATCGGTACACATTTTCAACCCTAATTCATGGTGTTATATTAATACCACTTGGTGTTGGATTTTGACACCATTTTAAGATTACTTTTTACACCACAGATATTTTAAACAATGTAGTGGAATAAATTAGTGGTTTCAATTAACGTAAAAGTTTGTCTTATGGTAGTACTTTTCAATTAGTGGAAAAATTTTGCACACTTTTAACTTTTACCACTAATTATAATTGAAAAGCGGCTTTGCTCATGTGCGCATATATTTTTTGTCAAAAGCAAAAAGTTTGAAGATTTGCCAGTGAAGGTAAGGTTATATAAATATTATTGTAATGGTTGTAAAAAATATTATTTTAATATAATTAATATTGTTCATGTCAGGTTAAGAAAAATGGACAATCTTTTAGCAAATTCCTTTAATTTTAGATCTTAATTTTGCGCATTGTGAATGATCGTTTTGTGTTAATTATAAGTATAATTGAAACCACTAATTTTTTCCACTAATTACGAGGTTCTGAATTTTCTGTAGCTAATTTTTTCGGGATAATTTTTAATTTAGGTTTTTGTTTCTTGAGTTTTTATTACATTAATTTTCTGTTGAATCCTAAAATAACTCTGAAATTCCTCTGAAACTTTGTCTGCGGCAGGTCTTGTTTATCAAGTTGATGAGTTCTTATCAGTAAATATTTGATGGTACAAAAAAAAAAAGATTTTATTTCTATCATTTTTTGCAGGAGTTGTTATTGAAGAAATTGATTTATTCTGGTTATTTTCTAAAGCAATTTTATTATTAATATTATCATCCTGTAAAACTGTAACTTTTTCAAGCATAGGTACTCTCTAAAAAAGTATTAGTCAAAAATTACAAATTTCAAAGTAAAAAAGCATGCTTTTTCACTTTGAAATATGTAATTTTTGACTAATTCACTGCAGTCACTAATAACTGTAGTCCACAGCAATTTGTATCCCGGATATTTAACAGCCAATTCTTATGTAAAATTGTCCCCTGAATCCGAAAAGAACGTCATAGCAGTTTTTGAGATATAGTCAATTCCATATTATATTGAAAATTGATTAAATATTAAAAACTGTCCTACTTTTATAACTTTTAACGACATATTCGAATTCAGTAGACAATTTTACATAGGAATTGACTGCTAAATATCCAGCATACAAATTGCTGTTAACTGGAATTATTGAACTGGACAATTAGTCATTTTTAACTAATTCATTTTTGAGAGTAGTATTTTCCATCTGGTTCTTTTTTTTAAGAAAATTTGACAAATTTGTGTTCGTCGTTGCCGAAATCCTTTTTTTAAAGGCCCGCACTTTTTATGTGGCAAACCAAATATTTGGCTTGAAACGGTTTTTTATCAACAGGAACTATGATTTTTCAGTCTTTTACTGATTAATTAATTAATTTATTAATTATGCTTTAACTGATTAATAAATTATGCTTACCATTTACAAAATAAACAAATATTAATCACCCTAAACATAAAAATAGTTGGTTATAGTCTTAGAAGGTTATAGTGATAAGTCGTGATATAGACTTCTAAGAGTGATAAGTTTGACATATAGCGCTGCCATATTTTGAATAAATTAAATTTAAATTACACTCGTTAACATATTTTTTTTTAATAAAAATTTAGAAATTTCCTGATTTTGTAGATTTTTTTGCTAATTCCCTGACATTTCCCTGACATTTCTAAAACATTTAAATTCCCTGACATTTTCAGGTTTCCACGTTTTCCAGATGAGTGGCAACCCTGTACCAATTTTCTGGGAACTATTGAAAACAATTTTAATTTGGCGAAATCTACCATACACAGAAAACAGGCTAGCATGAATGGGTGAGCCATTAAAGCAATGGGATTTTGTAATCCGTATTCCTGAATAACAGTTCCTATAATACCAATAGGTAGTTAGCACTTGGTTTATAATGGTTTACTGTTTTTAAATTAACAACAAAAGTTATCGCTCCTAAATCTATTGATATTTATATTGGTATTTATTTCATTTTATGATAGAATGTTATTGCATTAAATACTAATTTGATTTATTTAATAACGTTACTATAGTATGTATACTATGTATACATTTAACCCAATAAATTCTTAAACATTTAGGCAAAATATTTCCCTATTTTGGTTTAATAGTAATTAATTGAGCAAATAACAATTTAGATTGCTTTAATTTTAATGCATTCAATGACAGCGCTGTTCTTGGTACCATGTTAGATTATTTTATGTGTAAGAAATATTATAAAATGTTACGGGGAAACCAGTGGTTACGAAATTCGGGGTAAAAGTACCAGGCAGCCAAGAAGTGTCTCCTAGAATGAAGAGTCAGTTCGTAAGGATTTTTAAAAATAATCGAAAATCCAATTTAAGGGAAGAAACGGCGGTTTTTAATGCAGAAACTAGGCTAAACATTTCGCGAGAGTGTTGTGGATTCATAAATCCGGACCAAGTTTTTATAAGGTATAAAAATATTACTAGTTTTTATCAAGAATAAAACAAAAATCTATTTAAACTTTATTAATTATTTTATTAAAGGCAAAAGAAAAACCGCTATTGACCAAAGCACAGAAGAAAAACCGTTCAATTTGGGCTATGGTCTAAATTGCACTGGACAGCAGAAGACTGGGTCAAAGTCTTATTTAGCGATGAATCCAAATTTGACGTGCATAAAATTGAATTCTATAAAGACTGTTTAAAAAGGACTGTACAGTCTTAATCCCAGTCTAGAAGATCTTTATCCCGATGGTAATTTTATCTTTCACCAAGATGGAGCATCAAGCCACACTGCAAAAACAACCAAAAAAATGGTTTGAAGAACACACTATGAGAGTTTTGTCATAGCCTTCAAGTAGTCCAGACCTCAATGAAAAGTTATTTAAGAAATAATCTTAAAAGAACCACAAATGATTTAAAGACAAAATTGTCAAAAATATGGTAATGTTTTACACCAGATTTTTGTAGATCCTTAATGCCAGAATAAGAGCTGTTATAAAGGCCAAAGGTGAACGACGTACTACAATAAAATAAAAAAAATACTTTACTTAAAATATAATTTTTATTTTATATTTCTTTTTAATAAAGGTCACATAAATGGGTTCAATTACACTTTTGTGTTCTGAGTTTGATCATATTTTTTTTGAAGAATTAACAGCTACTTAATTTATATAAATAAATATATATAAATACATAATATACTATAAAGTATTGCAATGTACCTACTCTATACAGTGTGGTTTTTTTTATGGAATAAAATAAGTTGTCGATAAAAAAAATAAATAAATGGGTTCAATTACACTTTTGTGTTCTGAGTTTGATCATATTTTTTTGAAGAATTAACAGCTAATTTATATAAATAAATATATATATATATATATAAATAAATTTATATAAATACATAATATACTATAAAGTATTGCAATGTACCTACTCTATACAGTGTGTTTTTTTTTATGGAATAATAGTATATTACACTACAAGGGCAGAAAGTGTGAGATTCCTGCACTGCGCGCCATGATGCCCGAGGCGAAGCCGAGGGCATCATGGCGCGCAGTTCAGGGCTCTCACACTTTCTGCCCGTGTAGTGTATACTATTTTTCTTGCTACCCGGCAGAAAATACGGGAAAAAATTAAATGTGTATAAAAAACTTGTGTCAAAATTAAAATCTGACGTTTAATTTAATTCTGACGTTTACATTCAAAATCAATCAAGCGTAGCGTAGCGTAGCGTTGTCATGGTAGCGGGAGGAAATGAAACTTTTCTTACTACCTCGGCCGAAAATACGTATAGCCTTGAACAATGCATAAAACGTAAACTTTCTGCCGTGGAATCGGGGACGAAACAACGTATTTTCTGCCTGGTAGCAAGAAAAATAAGCTAGTCGATAAAAAAAAGTATGAAAAACGTTCTGACGCGTAAACTTATTTTTTTTATTTCAAATCTTATAATTATAATTTTCATGTTTTTGCCGATAGGACGATACCCCATAAGTAGGGTTTAGTAAACAAATTTTTCAATTAAAATGTAATGAAACTTTTTATTTTAAAATTAATTAAAAAATCAATAATTAACTGTTCTTTAATCTTATAGATGTTAGTTAAAAACACTTAAGTCATTTATTTTGAAATTGTTCCCGCACTTTGTTTAAAACCTTCGGTGTTATGTTCCTTATTTCTGCTGTTATTCTGTTTTTTAATTCATCTAAATGAGCATGTATTTTAATCACCCTTTTTTTAGACGTCCCCACAGGTGTTAGATCTTCTTCCGATACATATGTAGAGATGTGTCGGTCAGATCTGAACCGGCTCAGTGAACCGGGTCTTATAAGTGATCTACGTGAACCGGTTCACGAAAATTAAACGAACCGGCTCACGGGTCCGAAATTACAAAGCGGCCGCGCGCAAGCCGTTCTAAGCTCCGATTCACTGCTTCACCACTCGCAGCGAGTGACTCGCTATGCTGCTGCAGTGCATTGAACAGGCCGCGCATGGTGAGCCGCTCGAGCCGTGAGCGGCGGGTCGCGAGAGATCTGAACCGGCTCCCTGGAGCTAAGAACGACTCGCGCTCGCAGTACGTTTTGTTTTCTGTGATCCAGATCTGACCAAAACATCTCGATTCTCTAGGCGCGGCTCGATCATGTCTGTTGTATCATGCAGCTCGCTAGTGCCTATGCCGGTCGCATCGTTCGGAAACGAACTTCTTGCGTTCTGTGGCGCGTTACTACGTTAGGCAAATTTATACTTTTGGTAATTTTTTACAAACCCACAGAAATATGAGATGATTTCCCTTATGACAATGTCGTTTAAAATATATTTTTAATATTAATTAATTTAAATTGTGTAAACTTACAACATTTATGTTTTAAATATAACTTTTCATGTAAAATTAATTAATCAGAAAAAAGAAAATCTGCAGAAGAAATAAAATTCCCATTTAACACATCCTGCATTTGCTGGCAAAATTGCAATCTTGTACGTATTATAGTTAACATAGTTAAAATAATTTTGACTTTTTGATGCGAGACAGACATATTTTCCTTAGTGCGGCCCCGTCATTTATTATGTATGTAAGGGGGTAGCAAACTGTTTCTGGCTATGTCGTTTACAGTGCATACAAATTATATAAATAGAATTCTGAAAGCGTGGCAAGTGGGGAACATTTCGCTATATTTGGTTTGGGTAAAATCTGAAAGATAAAGATTTGACGCTGAAAAGTGTACAAATAAATATTTAGTACCTGAAGTCCTCTGGTATAAGCGTTTTTTAACATTTGAAAATATTTTTTTATAAAATTAATCATGGGAAAAATCTTTTCGTACAAATAATATAATCTACGTGTGAAGTTGCATATTTTTTAAAAATTGACCCAAGATTAAAAAGTATTCACAAAAAAGATTTAGGACTTCTGGAAACCCATAGAATAGGGTATATGCTCTAGCCAAAAAAAATTTATTTATGTAACACCCATTTCATTTTAGTAACTTTAGCCGCTACTCAGTGGTCCCAATCCCGAAAACTTACCCCACAGGCTGAAGTTAGCTTTAATTGGAAATAGTGACGTTAAAAATGGTTGACAGTTGTCAGATGTCAGATAAAATAACAAAAAAATTCGCTTTAAATTCCTTGCGGTAGGTAATTGAATAAAATATTGTTTGCCAAAAGAGATTCCACTCGCATGTTACCGCACTCGCTAAGCTCTGAAAATCTCATCTTTTTCCCAATATGTCGCACAATATACTATTAATATTCAAGAAGGTTTTTTTATTCATTATCGCAAACTGCAGTGTCAAGCTTAGATCTTCAAATGGTTTAGATAATTTGAGTGATAAAAAATGACTTTAATGCCGAGGTGCATATTAAATTTTATTCAAAATCACCTTTAATAATACTAATAATTAATATTGATGATTAAATCAAATGTCATTTGATGATCATATCAAATGTCAATTGAATCTAGGAAGTGTCTACGTATACTGTTTGTTGCTACCGTTATTATATATTTTTTAATCTAATTAATAAAATTAAATAATTATTTTTATTAAACACCATTTTATGAAAGGGTCCAATCGACCTCCGCGACGTTGCTTTTTTTTTAATATTATTTAGTTGCTGCTGAGAAGCAGTAGGCACATCTTAAAATGTATAATGGGTTGCATACAATACTCGTATTAAATCGGCAGTAAAGTTTTACTATACTGCCGATTTCTTTTACTTTACTGCCGATTATTGACTATTTTACTGCCAATTTCTGATAAAACATACTTTATTAAAATTTTATTAGTATTGTTTTTTATTAGGTACCATAGTTAGGCATTACATTCGTTTTCATACTACAAGTAGTGGCGTCACTACCGTGGTGATAATATATCTTTTTATAAAAAAATAGGTACACCATTGATCTAAAAAAAATCCACATTTTTAAAATAAACATTCGATTTAAGTCAAAAAAGTCCTCATAATGGTTTTTCGTAGTAATATTGCAATTCCAATTTACCGTAATTAAATTTTATCATATTTTCCGTATGCCGCGGCGTGTCGTCTATTTTTCTCTTTTTAGAGAAAAAGCAAAATTTTAATTTATTTTTAGTAATGTATAGCAACAAATGGAATAGACGTTAATATCTTAAAAACTGCTCTGCTTTTATAACTTTCGGATTTAAGAAACAGAAACAATTGTACATAAGAATCGACTGTTAAATGTCCGGACTATTGCTGTGGACTAGAGTTATTAGAGGCTGCTTTTACACTGTGAAAACCAGTCATTTTTGACTAATTTCATTTTAGAGAGTATTGTTTTTATTGTTTTGATGTTTCCACTTGGTCAACCGTAAAACTTTTTTGGATACTATGACAAATATATAAATGTAGAATTAATTTAATTTACCTTCGACATCAAGAGCCTCACATTTCCAAACTTGTCCGAAAGCTCCTTCTCCTAATATATTGAAAAACTTCAGCCGATGCCTTGGGAACTCCCAGCGGTCTGGGTTTTTTACCGTCGATGATATTTGATTTATAACCTGTAATATAAAATACATTTTAATACACGAAAAAGGTATTAGGCACAACTTTTTCTATTTAATTTGATTTCGGGATTACTCGTAGAATTATGTTATAATTAAAACATTATACAAGTATTTCTAAATTTAAGTGCATAAAACTGCATATTCCTTAAATATTTATTTTTATCTTGCATGAAAATTTGTTAATATAATAATTTTAAACGTATACGTATAGAAAATAATAACATCACTAACAAAAACTTAATTTATTACCATTTTGGAAATTTAATACAAATATTAAGTGACCTCAGTAAGCTGATTTATGGTAAGCATTTTTAAAACATGTTAAATTAACATAAGAATATTTTTATAAATAAATTATATAATGGAATTACTACTAAATACTATTAAATATAAGAATCTGTAACGTGTAACCATTAGGGTGTCCGTTATTTACCAACTTGGTTTTTTTGTTTGCAGGGCCCCCTAAATTTATAGAATTATAAAAAAAATATTCATTTTAAACCGGGCCACAAAGACGATACATTTTCCGTTTAAATAACATGGGGTTTCGGCAAGTTTTACATATATTTTTTGTTCTCTGAAGCAAGTTAATATACAGCAAAAAGTGATACATATTTTTATAGGAAATTGAACGCTGTACAAAAAAACTTTCCTATGATTTTTCGATAAATTCACTGGTTTATAAGTTATTTAAGGTTAAAATTAAACTAATAATAATTTTTTCGATTTTTTTACTTTGACTGCAAAATTATCATTATTTTTATAAAAATAATTTGTTAATTTTTGAAAATATGTGGTTTTATGTATTATTGAAAAAGTAAAAATTATTGAAAAGAGATAAGTGAAAATTATTGACAAGAGATTCAGATAAATTAAAAAATTTTTATTACATTAAAAGAATCTGGTACTAGTTTTACTTAAATTTAGAACGATTACTTTTTTTACATAATATTTTTATTTCTGTGAAATTTTACAAAACACCATGTTAGTTACGAGTTTTATTAGGCACGAGCGAAACTTATTAAAAACGAGTGTCTAGATAAGTTTATAAAGCGAGTTGCATACTAAGTATACTTTATCTACGACGAACACAAAGAAGAATTTAAAGCCAATTATATTTGTTAAACATTTGACATCTGTCAAATGTCAATCGAATTAACCTCACTTTTCTCTAATATATAATAAAGCTTATTTCAGCCCGTGACTAAAATTCCCAAAAGCCCTACTTATTGCCAACTTCAGCCCGTGAGTAAAGCGCCATAAAGACACAGCTCGTCAATGTAGAAGTAGATAAATACATTTAACTTATTTGAAAAGGATAATTGGTGTAGCGGAAATGTCTGCTCTCATACCCAAGACAACGTATGCGTAACTACGAATTTTATTTTGTCGTAAAAATAATTGTTAAAAGAAATTCTACGTCATTAGCTGTACTTTTTATTGTATAATATTTTATAAAATCGTATAAAATTTTGTAGAATTTCACAGAAATAAAAATATTATGTAAAAAAGTAATCGTACTAAAATTGAGTAAAACTAGTACCAGATTCGTTTAATGTACCTAATAAAAAAATTGAATTTATCGAAATCTCTTGTCAATAATTTTTACTTATCTCTTTTCAATAATTTTTATTTTGCCAATAATACAATAAAATCTCATATTTTCAAAAATAAACAATCCATTTTTATAAAAATAATTATAATTTTGCAGTCAAAGTAAAAAAATCGAAAAAATTACTACAAGTTTAACTTTAACCTTAAATAACTTTTAAATCAGTGAATTTATGAAAAAATCATATGAAAGCTTTTTTGTACAGCGTTCAATTTCCTATAAAAATATGTGTCTCTTATTGCTGTATATTAACTTGCTCTGGATAAAAAACTTGCCGAAACCACATGTTATTTAAATGGAAAATGTATCGTCTTTGTGGCACGGTTTAATATGAATATTTTTTTTATATTTTTTTTATAACTTTTTTTTAGGTCATAAACTAAAAATTTAGGGGGCGCTGCGAACAAAAAAGTTGGTAAATAACGGACACCCTAGTAACCATGTAAATAGATTACTTTTATCTTCAAGCGTTCTATAATTTAAGCTTTATTATTGTCAATGATCACCACCAAAGTATTGAATTATCTCCTACGCTGTTAAAATAATTGAGACTAAATTTTAGACCAATCGGATGAAGTTTTTTTACCGTCCAGTCTCTAAAAAACCGTTTAGACCCATAAAAATCGAATAGTCAGATCTATCTAACCTCACTTCTCCCTTTTAATAATTATTATTTTACTCTTTTTTTGTAATCGGTAAAGTTATACTTACTAAAAAATTACAGTTCCATCAATAACAAACCTATTTTTAATATATTTAAATACTTATTTTATTTTGTTATTATGACCAATTTTATTTAGATTTATTTATAATAAATCAAATACATAAATTCGGTTTTTGCTTTTGACTGTTTTGTGTATTGTTTTGATTTATAATTGCTACATAACAATTAATATTTGCATTTGCAAATTTTATTAATTTAAAAATACTAAAATTATGCATGAATGTTTTGCTGTAACTTTAAAATTAGTCACACCAAATTTGTCGCACAGTATTATTTAAAAATAAATATTTAACAATTTTTAGTCTCTTCTCTTTCCTGGAACTTTTTTTTAGGTCATAAACTAAAAATTTAGGGGGCGCTGCGAACAAAAAAGTTGGTAAATAACGGACACCCTAGTAACCATGTAAATAGATTACTTTTATCTTCAAGCGTTCTATAATTTAAGCTTTATTATTGTCAATGATCACCACCAAAGTATTGAATTATCTCCTACGCTGTTAAAATAATTGAGACTAAATTTTAGACCAATCGGATGAAGTTTTTTTACCGTCCAGTCTCTAAAAAACCGTTTAGACCCATAAAAATCGAATAGTCAGATCTATCTAACCTCACTTCTCCCTTTTAATAATTATTATTTTACTCTTTTTTTTGTAATCGGTAAAGTTATACTTACTAAAAAATTACAGTTCCATCAATAACAAACCTATTTTTAATATATTTAAATACTTATTTTATTTTGTTATTATGACCAATTTTATTTAGATTTATTTATAATAAATCAAATACATAAATTCGGTTTTTGCTTTTGACTGTTTTGTGTATTGTTTTGATTTATAATTGCTACATAACAATTAATATTTGCATTTGCAAATTTTATTAATTTAAAAATACTAAAATTATGCATGAATGTTTTGCTGTAACTTTAAAATTAGTCACACCAAATTTGTCGCACAGTATTATTTAAAAATAAATATTTAACAATTTTTAGTCTCTTCTCTTTCCTGGAAGTTTACCAAATTTTGAAAAATAATAATATCCAAATACGTAAAGTGAAATATTTGTAAAAACTAACTAAAAGACGAAACAAAAGGACACATAATGTTACTTTTTATTCTAGTCGTAAATAAAACTGGATTACTGACAAAAAAGTAGGTAATACTTAAAATTGGAATTCTACACCAAGTGCCAAAAATAGGTTTTGTATATCGAGAAAAAAATTATTGTCTTTACAATACGGTAGATACAAAGATATAAAATATTGTTTCACCAAAATACAGCATACAGCATTTGTGATATTGGTGGTAACAAAAAATATGTATCTGTGATCGTGTGTTTTTGACTTATTCACTTCTTAAAAAAATGAGTTTTTCAGATTTTAATTAAACAATAGTTTTTGTTTTACAAGTGTTGAAAAGTGACTCTTTCATGCGTGTGTTCCTGTGGGAAAAGTGAAAGGTACCTATGTGTGAAAATAAATTGACAGCATCGTTTGATATTTAGACGTACAACAGCTCAATTTTTTCGAATTTGTGTGATTTCATTAAAATTTGTATATATTTTTTTTGTATATGTACATATGTCCAAATATCATTTGGAACACAATTAATTATGTTTTTATAATAAATTGTAATTTTTAGTGCCTTTATTTAAATTGAGAAGGTAAGTTTATTGATTTTAAGTAACTTATTCCTTAAAAATCAAAAGAATAAGATAAAAGTATATTAAAGAACTAATGTCATAAGACGTCATTTTGTCGCACGAGGACAATTTGTAATGGACGAATGCGATAAAAGGGGTTATGACATGTTCTTTTATGCTATTTTATCTATTTTGCAAAAATTCTATAAAAAAATTAATTTTATACCTTAATTTAATTTGGTCGAATTTTAGTTTAGATAGTTGGTATCACAGTCATTTGTTTGAAGGGTTAATGTCAAAATCGATTCGCCATGGCGTCCTTAATTTACTTATTTACAATAAGCGATGTTAATGTTAATGTTAAATAAGAAAAAAGTGATTTTCTTTGGTGTTAAACAAAATTTATTTCCAGAGAAGTCTCGTAAGTACTAGAAAAATCATAAAAATATTATAACCAATGTGCAAAATATTATTTTACTAGTAAGCTGTTTAAAGTAGCCAACCTATAAAATCAAAATTTTGGTTGGGGTAAAGTATCTCATTACAGCACCGAAAGCGCTGTTACAATGAAGTTATTATGAACGCAAAATAGATAAAAAATAAAAGTGTCTTATAAAAAACATTGTGTTTCACTTGTGAGAGAAGCTTTCTTCAAGCTCGTGTTAATGCACACTCGGCCTAACGGCCTCGTAAGCAACTTAAACACTCGCGTAAAAAAGTCACTTTTAAAACAAATAACTATTTTCTTCGACCCTTTTATTTTTTATTATTTTCAAATACAAAATAAAATAACATAAAAACGTGTTTGACAGCTGTTATAGTTCTTATAATTTTAAATGTATAAGTTACTTAAAATCAATAAACCTTCTCAATTTAAATAAAGGCAATAAATATTGGAATTTATTCTACAAACAAATAAATTGTTGTACGTCTGAATGTCAAACGATGCTGTCAATTTCTTTTCGAACAGACCTGTCACTTTTCAGATAGATATGTCACTTCACATTTGCCTTGCCAATGAAAAGATTCGTTTTCTAAGCAATTACGAATTGTGACTTTTACTTAGTGGTCGTAGAAAAATTAGATAAATTACTTGTCAACTGCCATAACATCAATTTTATTACTTTCAACTTTGTACAGGACGAACCACACTTGCTTCGAAATAAAATAAACAAATACTCACTTGTGAATGATTAATTTCCCGGTCCCAAGGCTCGTATCTATTGCTGAAAGCCCTGGGTCCCCTCCATTGTTGCATGGCCAGACTCGGATTTTCCTGAAGGACAATTCCGCCCGAGGACTCCTTGCGCTAAAAAAAAGCAATGAAAACATGATTTTAATGCATACAAATTAGGGCGAAATTTAATAAACCCATTCCAGCAAATGACATCTGTTTTACGAGACAATAAGCCATTTTAAACGAGTTTCACGTTTCCATCGTTGCGTAATATTAATAAAGACTGTGAAATCCAATAAATTGCAATCATTAAACGCTGCACAACGATCTGGTACGAAAGAAAATAAAGGAGTTTTAATTCCGTTTTAAATTAAACTTTTTTGGACAAATTAAAGGATAAAACCTTTAATCCACCTTTTTGTTGTCTTTTCGCTGCCTTAGGAAAAGTAACTCTTTAAGGATTTTAAAGAACATAGGAAAGCACTTTGATCACGTATTTTTCGAAAAAATCCTTTATTGCCATTAGAGATGGGATTTTAGGTTGCAAAATTTATAAAAATAGGTAACGTTTTTTCTTGTTTTAGGTAAAAAAATCATAAATTAAGTATGTCCTTTACGAAAATATGCACTGGAAACTTATTAGAATATTTTTTGGTTTTTGCTTATATTTAACAATTTAAAACTTCTCAGAACTTAAATATTTTTTATGAGAAAGAGGTACAAAATTATACAAAATTATGATATGTTCTTGCATTGCAATTAAATTCATGAATCTCGAACACTCCGTCATTTATTACACTTGCAAACTTGAAAACTTTTTGAAATCACAATTTTAAATACGCACAAATAATATTTATGAAATATTTTTGACAGTTCTGACATTTCTCTACCAATTCAAAGCCATCTAAATTTTAAATTATAAATAAAACTAACAATATCGTTTCTTAACTGCATTAAAAAATTATTATATCTTTTATATGGATAAAAATAACAAAACAAGACTAACTAGACTGAAAAGATGAAGGTTGGGACTACATTTCCTAAAAGTTTCAGATTTTTATTTTTTCCTCAACATAATGATTTCTGAGGGCAAAATTGGCTAATTTTGAAAATTATCAAGTTTCAATAATTTTTTAATAAAGAAAATGATAGTCTAGAAACGTTTTCTATTGTATAAGTACTTGAAACCTGAAAAAAATCAACTTTCTAGATTTAGCAGATTAGGCACAGGAGCCAGACAAAAATCACAAAAATTGGCAAATTATCATGAATCTTTAGTGGTTTACCATTCTTTTATGAGATTAACTAATTGGATTATAATAATTTATATCGAAAACACACTTACTGAACATTAAAAAAAAATTAAAATCATTTCAATATTTGTCACAGAAAAAAGTTATGGCTCACTATAAGAGAGTAAGAAATTGACACGATTTCAGATTTCTAAAGGATGCCGATTAAAAGTAAAGAATCCAAAAATTAAAACGGCAACGGATTTTCATATTTGATACCTAAAAGATCATCCTCAATTTTTTTTATCAAAATAAAAAATCAAGCAGCGCACCCCATTTGGTGTTTTTATTTGGAATGACTCTTACAGCAGACTCACTTTGGGTCTTTGTTAACATTTCAAAGAATTTATTTCATTTTTTAAGCAAAATTGGATACATATTCTTTGATCCATTTCTTTTAACGAACGAAAAATCGCCGAGCTCATAAAACACGTCTAACCTTAGCGGCTGCCACAGACAAAGTAAACAATGAAAACAGCTAAAGCTTTTATTATACTTCGGGGGCATGTATACCAACATAATAAAGAAAATTTTATAACAACCGGACCCTCCGAACGCGAAATTTAACAATTCCCGTTATTTTCTGAACACACCTCGTACTTCGAGTTCTAATTGATCGATTTCACCAAACAAGCACTTAAATCAAAGGTAATTGAGCCTTCTACAACTTTCTCTTTTATAGTTTTGATATCGGCTCAGTACTGGCGATTTTAAGAAGTTTTTTTTTACAAAAATCAAGGTCGAAAATTTAAAAATTAGCTGCTGTTGATAAAAATCCATGGATAAATGGCGAAGTTATGAATTTTTCAGTGGAAGACCAAAATTCAGTTTATTTGAGAATTTTTACGTTTTTTCTTCATTTTATTGAATTATATAAAATTTAATATTGAACATTGATTTTTATTTTAAACATTAAATATTTAAATTAAATTATATATTGAATATTGAACAATTATTAATAATAATAATAATAATAATAATAATAGAGTTTATTGCCCAACAGTTTACACCATAGTAGGACATTCATATTATATAACAAAGAGGTTTACAAAAAAAAATATTAAATAAAAATGTGAACAAACTTATAACTAAACTTTCAATCAGATTTATACATCGTTAGAATTTACAATGGCCCTGTGAATAGTCTTTAGTGAACAATAGTTAATATCGCAATAAGTTGATATTTTATTAAAGTTATTAAACATAACATGTAAAGGTGATTTACTAAGTACATTGGTACGAGCAATCGGACACTTGAAGGTATGGTTCTGGCGACTACTGGTTCTGGGAATCAAAAAATCAATTTGACCTAACAGATCAGAACAATCTATTTTATAATTTACAAGATTATACAAAAAAGACACTGACAAGATCTTCCTTCTGTTGGATAAAGATACGAATTTAGCAACAAAGCGTGTTCGTATCCTTGCGGGGGATAGAATCCTTGAAATTTAAAAAATAAAAACTTTAAAAAGCGTCTCTGTACAGACTCTATATGATTTATGTGGCAAGCATAAATAGGTGACCAGACCACACTCGCGTATTCCAATTTACTTCGCACTAGAGTAAAATATAGTAAATGCAATGTTTGGGTTGAGTTAAATCCCCTACTGTTTCTAATAATAAAGCCAAGTGTTCTGAAAGCTGATTTGGTAATATCATTGATATGAGAAGCAAACTCAAGTTGGGGATCGAATACCACGCCAAGGTCTTTAAATGAACTGACTCTTTCTAAAGCAAAATCATTAATTTTATAGCTAAAGTATATGGGTTTCTTCTTGGTTGTGTAGCACATAACTTTGCATTTTGAAATATTCAAGTTTAATCTGTTTTCTATGCACCATTCATTAAGTCTATTTAGGTCATCCTGTAGGGCTACGCAATCACCCACACATTTTATCTGCTGATACATTTTTAGATCATCTGCATACAACAGCTTGAAACAATTGATTTTATTAGGAAGGTCATTTATAAACAAAAGAAACAGTAGGGGACCCAAATTGGAACCCTGCGGCACTCCCGAAGTGGATACAAAAGAATCTGAGTAAAATCCATTGAATGCGACAATCTGCCGTCTATGTGATAAGTAAGATGTAAAAAGGTGGATAATAGTGTTATCAAATCCAAAATTACAAAGCTTACTTATTAGTATTGAATGATCGATTTGATCGAATGCTTTCTGGAAATCGGTATAAACAACGTCCAACTGCCCGCGATTATCAATGGTTTTACTGGCAAGTTGTGTGAAACTGACGAGATTGGACGAAGTTGATCTTTTTTCCATAAAGCCGTGTTGACTTGGTGAGAGCAGATGCTTAACTTGAGTGTATACTTTTGAGTAAATAATTGATTCAAAAATCTTTGCAAAATTATTAATAATTGATATGGGCCGATAATTTTCAACTTGGGAATTGCTACCTTTTTTTAAAACAGGGGTTATTTTTGAGATTTTCCATGAGCTTGGAAAGACTCCCGATTCTAAAATTTTATCAAAAATAATTAATAATGGGGTCAAAAAGGCGCCACAACAATCCTTCAAAAGAAAACTGGGAATATTGTCATTACCTGCAGTCATTTTGTCTTTTAGCTTTTTAATGGCATTTCTGATATCAATCTCCTTAATGCTGGAAATATTTATTGTTTGGTAGGAATTGGGATCTACAATATCATAGTTATTATTAGAAAATGCACCAGAGTCTATATAAACACTACTAAAATAGGTTGCAAAAGCATTAACAATATCTTTGGGATGACTATACTCCAAGTTGTTAAAAGTGACCTTACCTGGGATACGTGAAGAACCCTTTTTGGAATTTATGAAAGACCAAAAAGATGTCGGGTTATTATTAATATTTTGTTCTATAGTTAACATATAACTTCTGTATGCATCTGATATTTGAGTTTTTACATTGGTCCTTGATTCCTTAAATAAGGTTAGATATATAGGTTTAGATGTTTTTCTATATTTTTTGTGATAATGTTTTTTTTTGTTTAGGTTTTGTATAATTTGTCTATTAAACCAAGGGGGATAAACATGATTACTATTGATATATTTCTTTAATGGAATAGAACTATCAAATATTTCAAATAGCTTGATATACAACATATCACACATTTCGTCAACAGTATTGCATAGTTTTAAATTCGACCAATCAATTTTTAATATTAAATCATAAAGCAGTGGAAAATTAGCCTTTTTAAAATTATAAGATACATTTTGATTATTGTGATTTAAATTTAATTTAGCGCATGAAAAATTTACAGTGAAGTGTAAAGGGGGGTGATAAGGATCTACATTTACTAAGGGGTGTTCTTCACGATCAGGTTTACATTCGATATTTGATAGGATAAGATCTAAAAGCCTATTTGATTGATTTTTAATATTATTATACTGCAGAAGGCCTAATAGCTCAGTAAAATTATTTAATGCTTGGAACTTACTATCCCTATAATCATGAGATATAAAATTAGGCACATTAAAATCCCCTACAATGACAGTATTTTCATGTAAACATTCGAAACTGGATAATAAGTCAAAAAATTTTTGAAAATCTGTCAGTGTTATTTTAGGTGGAATATATATGACAATAAAAGTACATGATAAACTTGGCGTTATGTCAACCTTACAGCCCACAATATCAACACAATTTACAGATTCTATTAATAAATCAAAATTAATACTTTTTACAGAATAATCATTTCTAACTGCAACTAAAACACCACCTCCTCTTGAACAATTGAGCAAATCAAAGTTTCTATCACAGCGCAACACTAAATAAGAATTTGGAAAAAACTCAGCACTATCAACATCACTACTTAACCAAGTTTCAGTTAAGCTGA